AAACTTGTGTAAATATAAACAATTATATGTCAGTCAGTTATGTTCCATGCGTGATACACGCTTAGGCGATCATGTCTCTTTCGATGTATCGAAAGAGACATGATCGCTCTTGATGTATCGAAAGAGACATGATCGCCTAAGCGTGTATCACCTACATTGACGAGACGAAATTTTTTCCAGCAGTAAAGTTGTTGGCAACTGATCTACCAGGTGTGTCCTGCTATTTACGCATAGCTGGGGAGTGGGGAGTGGGGAGGAGAGAATTCATACCTTTGCCAAGAATATTCGCACGTAAGTGAATGTAATGGACTTGACTGGAATTCGAACACGGCACTCCGATTCCTCAATCCGAGCCGATATCAAGGTATGTGCCTCCTCAAATCCGGAGCCGATATTAGGTATGTGCCTCCTCAAATATATATATATATATATATATATATATATATATATATATATATATATATATATATATATATATATATATATATATAATATATTTAAAAAAAAAACAAATAAATTAACACACACACACATACATACATATATATATATATATATATAATATTTGAACAAATAAATATATATATATATATATATATATATATTTTTTTTTTTTTTGAATGGATACTGATATTTGCGTTGATGGTCTATTTTTATTTGTTTGCGAAAGGCGTTTTCCACCTGGTCATGAAATTGTGTTTGATCAGGGAAAACCACGGCCTAATAATCCTCCATCAATCTTATCATAATTGTTCTTTTTACTTCGTTTAGTTACTAAGTTTGTCTATTCCTTACGGTCTTCTGTATGATCGACGTCTAACTGGCGGAAATTTTCAAAGAAACACCTCACCCACGCCATCTCACTCTTGCCGTCAACAAATACTGACGATTTTCAAAGAAACACCCTCACCAATTCCATCTCACACTTGCTGTCAACAAATACTGGCGATTTTCAAAGAAACACCCTCACCAAATGAATCTTTTTCATGCCGTCAACAAATATTGGCGATTTTCAAAGAAAGAACCTCACCCATTCCATCTCACTCTTGCCGTCAACAAATACTGGCGATTTTCAAAAAAAAAAAAAAACGCTCACGAATTCAATTTCAGTCTTGCCGTCAACAAATACTGGCGATTTTCAAAGAAACACCCTCACCCACTACATCTCATTCTTGCCGATAACCAATACTGGCGATTTTCAAAGAAACAACCTCACCCATTCCATCTCACACATGCCGTCAACAAATACTGGCGATTTTCAAAGAAACACCCTCACCCACTACATCTCACACTTACCGTCAACAAATTTTTAATTCTTTCTAGTACGTTCGAAATTTTGGTAAAATCTTGTTTTTTTTTTCTCTTTTTTTTTTTAAGTCGGCGACTCGGATCTTATTTACATTACTTTTTTGGCGCCTATTTTTCAGGTGAAAAACATTGACTTGGAAATTTTCGCAAAAATCAAATAATTGTCGGATTTTAATGAAATTTTCAGGACTTATTTTTACTTTATTTGTTTTCCAGAAAATTGTAGTAAACATTATTTTATTTACGTATCTTACAACCTATTTACTATTTTTAGTTTCACATAAATAATTTTTATTTAACTTATCTTTCTAATTAAAGTTCTTTTTGAAATTCTTATTTTTTAATTTGCATGTCATTTTGCAATTTCCTTTCAAATTATTTTTATATTAAACTCCTCCTATTTCATAAAAAATTTTTTTTTTAGTTTTTATTTTGCTTTTTCGTTTTTTTATTAAATTCTTTTGTTAGAGTTGTTTTGAAACAAAAACGTTTGAAAGATAAACTTGAATTCAGTTTGAAATCTAATGTTTAATTTCATTATTTTTAGACTTTATTTCATTCGCATTTGAAATTAGTAACTTTCCGGACTTGTTCGAAAATGATTGAAATTTTTGCGTTGTTTTTCAAAAAATTATAGTAAGCATAATTTTTTTTTTAAATATGTTATAGACCACATACTTAATTTCATAAAATTTTGAAAAATTAAATTGTGCTCAGAAAATTTTTATGGTGGCCTCTAAATGACATTATCGTTAAAATGTCACGTGTTTTAAGGGTTGTCTTCTTACTAGGAAAACCCATTCAACTTTTTGGGACTGCTATTGTTTCATTTCATTTCTGTGTTTCATCGTGTCTCAACAGGCTTTAAAAATTTGTTCATCAATGAAAAACATTAAATATATCTTCAAGTACGTGTAGAAGGGACATAACTCTACTTCTGTTGAGCTAAGAGACAACTCAGCAGCTGATTGTGAGCAGAATCAAGCTCACGATGAAAATGCTAATTATCTTGCTTGCCGATCTGTTTCTCCTCCGGAAGAATGTGGAGACTGTCAGAGTTCAAGCTACATGACTCATTCTCACAATGTCTACAGACTTGCTGTACATCTTGGAGACCAGCAAAGAGTTTACTTTCACAGAGGCAACTCTCAGCAAGCTGGTCAGGCACAGAGAGACCGTGACACTATCTCCACGGCATGGTTTAAATTGAATGACCATAATGACGATGATGCAAGGAACCACCTGTACCCTGACATTCTGTGTTTAATAAGCGCACTAGAACATGGACACCAAGGTATAGGAATACTAATACCACCAGTAGAATGTATACAGTGAGACCTTGAGACACAGATAATTTTTACTTCCGAATGTTGCTGTTGCATGTTTCAGGGCCCGTGAGCTTCCAGGATTTTCACACTGTAGAAGAGGAAATCTTGTCAACATTTAAGGCAGCATGCTTGAGATATGGTCTTCTCTCAAACGATGACACACTGGAATATGCATTGCTAGAAGCTGTTGCCTGTCGGATTTACTGACAGTTGCGTGTTATGTTTGCTGCCCTGTGCATGTATATGAACCCTGCAAATGCTCTTCACCTGTGGACCACTCGCAAGGAATCCATGATTGAAGATTTCTTGCACCAAGGTTTTAATGAAGACCATGCAAAAAACATGGCACTGCACTCGATTGATGCAATTCTGATACGGAATGACATTAATTTTTTAGCAATTGGGCTGCCTGAACTTACTGGACTACCGCAACTTGACCATTATGAAGACCTCGATCACCCAGGCATTGCAAGTCTTACTAATGAACAGCGACCGATTTCTAATGCTTGAATCTATAGATAAGAAGAGGAGAGGTGAGGTGCTCAACCACTCCTGTTTCAATGTTGATGCACCAGGAGGTTGAGGTAAAATTTATATGTTTAATACCATAATTTCTTATCTGCGAAGGAACAACTGCAACCTGGTCAGTGGTGCTTGGACAGGCATCGTCTCTACAGACATCGTCAGGTGGAAAGACTATCCATAGTTTGTTCAAACTGCCTGTCCCACTCACGGGGACCAGCGTCTGTAATGTACCAACCACTTCAGACCATGAAAATTATTTAAGAAACCTGGATTTGATCATCTTGGATGAGGCTTATATGATCTCTTCATTTGCTCTCCATGCTATTGATAAAGCCTTGCGAGATATCACTGGCATTGCTACTGTTTTTGGTGGTAAAGTTGTGCTCTTGGTGAGGAGTCTTTAAGCAAGTCCTACCCATATTTCCAAGAGGAACAATCATTGAAATCTTACTTATTATAAAACGTAGATTGTGTGTGTGTGTGTGTGTCTGTACGTTTATATATTGGATCAGATTTCCTACATTTTTCAATCGATTTCAACAAAACTTCACAGGACTGCGTAAAATTACCTTGTGGTGGTTCTGACAGGGCCAAAAATTGGAAAAATACAATTGCTTTTGCAGGAAATCATTTTGAAAACACGATTCTGTCGGTAGAATGAAAGGGGGACAACTCATCGTTTTATACTTATAAAACCCAGGTTGTGTGTGTGTGTGTGTTCATTTATATATGGGATCGAATTTCCTACATTTTTCAACCGATTTCAACAAAACTTCACTTTTTTTTGGCAGGTAGTGTTTCTTATTATCTTGCAAACTTTTTTCTTTATTTTTACATTCAGAACGCTTTAAAAATTCCATTTACAAGACAATTGTTTATAATAAAATTCTATTCAATCGATAGACTCATAACGATTGAAAACAATGTTTTTGTTTGAGTTTGGGTTTGACCAATTCGTAAAAAAACAAAACAAAAAAATCTAATTAAGACATGCGTGTCCATCAACCTTAAACAATAATCTTTGTCAATTATATTTTTCAGTCTTTATGATGGTCGATACTTGATCTATCTCTTACTGTTACATCCCCGGGTAACGCCGGGTTCTACTGCTAGTCTGTATTAAAATGTATCCACTATGGCTGATTTTCATCCAATACAGATTAAGAAAAAACATCAGGACAACGGCAGATCAAATGGAATTTGCAGCATGGCTTTTGCATCTCGACAATGGATCATCAGCCGCTTCGCAAGATCTTAATCTTGCTGCTGATGACATAGAAGTGCCTCAAATTCGATGGCTTTATGGTGGATGGAAGAAGGAGCAGAATAAGTCTATCGTCAAAGAACTCAGACTTATTCCTGATCAATGAAGAAGTTTTGAGACAACTTCCGAGTGACTGCTGAACCTATTATAATACAGTATTATAGATTTTATTTCGACAGATGGTCCTACTGAGGTTGAGAGTTACCCACTTGAATTTCTAGACTCTTTAACACCATCAGGAATGCCTCCTCATAAATTGAGTTTAACACCCGGCTAAATAGTAATGATTCTTCGTAACATTCCTATCAGGAATGGACTCTGCAATGGTACAAGACTGGAAGTAGTGGCCATGTATCAACATTCAATTGAGGATTCCTTGATTAGTGGCTGACTAATTTGCAGACTTGTCCTCATCCCCAGAATAAAGCTGGCTCCAAGCAACTAACTTGCAATTCATCTAGGAGAGAACCCAGTTTCCTGTCTGGTTGTCACTGTCACAGGGGCAGAAATTGGAGAAGTTGGGGTTGTTCTTACCTCAACCAGTCTTCAGTTACGGACAATTGTATGTGGCATACTCTAGAGCTAACAAACTCTCAGATGTAAGGGTTAAGGGGGATGGAGACAGACAAGGAAGGAGAAGAGGGCGAACTGTTACTAAGATCATTTTCTACTGAGAAGTACTAATTTGAAGGGGTGGAGTGTTTTAAGAATTTCTAAAAACCCTTCGTTATATTAGGTATGTGTCCTTGGCTTATATGTATACATGCACACACACACACGCGCGCACACACACACACACACACACAAAACACACACACACACACACACACACACACATATATATATATATATATATATATATATATATATATATATATATATATATATATAATTCGAAGATGATTTGCCCGAAAATTCCGATTCTGGAATCTTAATTTCCGCGACTCATTTCTGTCATGTAGTTAATAATAAATGTTTTTCGTACTGATCACATCGGTACCTATTCGTTTGCCTTTGTTTTATTAGCCAACCTATCTATTCATTTATATATATATATATATATATATATATATATATATGAAGAAAATTTGGAAAAAACAAACAAAAATCCTTAAATGCAATTATGTTGTATAAAATGAATGAAATCTCGACGTCTGACGTTTCGGTTTGATAAACCTTTTTCAAGACAATATTCATTAAAATACAATTCAGTTCAATTTGACAAAGACAATGGACATAAAAAAACAAGTCTTATCCAAAACAGATAACTGAAAATTTTAAAAATGATCAGCTTTCTGTTTAACATGGTCACGTTGTCGTCACATGGGCGACGCTTTCAAAACGTATTCCTAAAAATTTGTGATTATTTTGAAATGAAAGAAAATGAAAAGAATTCTATTAGGATCTAAAATTTTTATCCATCTCACGCACGGTGAATACTAGACCTGGTTTCTTTAATATTTCCCCTTTTTTAGCGAGATTAATGCTCGACAAGCATACACATAAAAATTTTAGATCCTAATAGAATTCTTTTCATTTTCTTTTTCAATTCCACGGGTCCCGCTAGTATTCAATAATTTGCCATCAAATATGATACGAGTCGTTTACCAAAACCAAGGACAACAAAAAATGTTCCTCTTCTGTGCGAAGTGTGCAAAATGATGAGTGTTGTGACCAAGTAAATGGTTAACTAATAACAAAAACCAGGTTTGCAGATATATCGTATATTAAACAGTAAGTACACCAGAAGAGTATTACACGACTAGTGAGAGTGTATCGTATGAAACAGCGCTCAATCAATTCACGGTTCACTGTTCCCCGAATTTTCTCTCCTACTAAACTTATAGTAGGCGGAAGAGTCTAACATTGACTCTTAGAGGGAGAACACCACAACGTTTCTTAGAAAAAGATAGAACTGAGAATTTTACAAATTTGTTTGCTTATATTGACACTCATGATTTTGCGCCAGTAGTTACCTGCTACAAATCAACAGTTTATCCAGGCTTCTCATTTTTTTTTTCATTGGAAGCATTCCGATTTTTTAATTAAAATTTTTGAAAATTTGACATTTAAATGTTACCATGAAAGCATAGGCGCACACATTTCATCCCTATTGAAAAACAGAATGAATATGTTTCAACATTGGTCTCAAATTGAAGCAATTCGTTATATTGGTAACTTGGAAATTGAACGAAAGAAACAGATTTTGAGATATCGAAGGTATGTTACCACGAATAGCTGGCAAAAAAGTTTACGAGTCGGAAATTCTTGTCTGGGCATTCGAATATTTTGCCATATCTCGGTCCTTTATTACAGAATTTGAGATAATTACAAATTACCCAACGTTAAAACACTAATGGATATGACATCAAAAGTTTCGAAGGTAAATGATTTGAATTTTCTTGGTGATGTGTTTAGCAAAATATCAGATGAACAGAAAAAGTGTATCGTTCTAGTTGATGAATTTTATGTTAAAGTGAGCTTACAATACCAAATAGTTAACTTAAATGGTTTTGCCAAAGATTCTAAAGAGGCTTTAGCAAAAACTATATTGGGTATTATGATTCAATGTTTACATGGTGAAACAATATTTTTGATTAATATGATCTCAGTTGACAAACTAAATTCAGAAATTTTGTTTCAGAATGTTAGAAATGTTGTTGATAGAGTCGATCATTTACTTCGCCTGCAGGACCGCGCTGCGGATGTGTAAGCGTTTGAAACCGGTGGAAAGGTCCGGGAATGCGCACAGACGACCAAAGTCAACGACGGACGATTAAATTGCAGTTATTTGGGATAATAATCTGACTAATCAAGCTTTATTCAAGAAATTTGATACTGTTGCAAATAAGCCTTGGGTTACTAATAATGTTTTTTTAATTGCTTTTCGATTATGTACATATATTTAAAAGTATTCGCAATAACTGGATAACTGAGGCTTGTTCAAAATTACCGTTTTATTCTGATGGTAAAGAAATGACAGCAAAATGTGAAACAGTGAAACAAATTTTTGCACATGAAAAAAAATCAATTTTTTAAGTTATGAAAACAAAAATAGCGGTTCTTCCAAAACCA